CTTCCGATTTCTAAATGACAATCAGGCCCAATAAAAATCTCACAGACTAGGACGTATTTTGAAAAGGGAACAACCAGCCTCATTTTAGCTACAGCTTTGTTAAGATGCTCAGAAGACTGAGCCTCTCTGGCTCCTTCACTACCATAACTGTGTACTGAACCCCACAGTGCAGCCTCAAACATACCAGTAACATTTCCAGAACATGTTTTGCTTAGAATACAGGTTGAATGATTTCAGCACATGGATCCGGAGTGCGTTTTTTCCAGTACAATGACGCTCCCCTAGGCCAGGAGGACTTTTGCTGGCACCATGCAGTGCTGTTCCAGCACTGGGCACAAGCTCCTCATGATCTATTTCAGAGGCACTGTGGTCATAGAAGTGGTCTGTGACTTGTGGCGGAAGTTAAATTGCAGACCTACCCATCACTGATCTTGAATTCATCCTCGCTCTCTTCTTCATCCAGATTACTATCACTATCAAGGTCGTTTAGTCGCCGTCGTTTCTTGCGTCGTGCTGCAGCAGCCCTTTGTGGTCGCTTGTTTTCTTTCCTTTCTTCCTCTAGGATTGTGGAAATGTCTTTTCCACGGTGACCTGTGATATTAGACATGTCTTTGCCTCTCCCAATACCTGAATTCAGTGATAGGGGAAAAAAGAGCAAGTTTAGTTTTTTCTTTAACTGTATATAAATCTTTCTTCCATGCCTCTAGCTTCAGTTTATTTTCTGTAAAGCAGAATAATTTTTTTGTCATGCAAGACTCTGTCTGGAGTCTTATTCCTGACACACACAGCCCCAGCTGTACTCACGTGGAAATACTGAGGTCCACACAGAAGACAGCGGGTAACTGTTGGCATTCTGATACTCAACCCTGACCCACATGATTACCACTGCTAGTGCCTTTTGAGTATTTTCAGAAAACACATCTGAATATCCTTCTTGGAAGATGAAGTGTTTAAGTTGCTGTTTGGTCAGGGAGTGGAGTTTCTGAAAAGCTGGTTTTACTGTTGAGACTTCGTTGTGTTTATTATACGGGTCTAGTGTTACACACCCACCAACACATAATTTTCAGATTGTCTGTATCCATCCAGCAAGCTTCAGAAAACTGGTGTCTTTACAGAGATGCCAAAAGCCAAACAACTGAGGGAGAATGTTTCACAGCAGTTTTCTCCACACAAGTTAAGGTGATGCAGAAGCACAAATCCATCCACATCTTGGATACACCTGGTCTAGTGGAGGGTGTCCCTGCCCATGGCAGGGGGCTGGAACTAGATGGGCTTTAACGTCCCTCCCAACCCAAACCAGTCTGGGATTCTATGATCTCTGTTTTGGTCCGCTATGTTATCTTAACAGGCAACAAAGAATGTTATTTCATTTTATTCACATACAACTGAGAAGTGCTTACAGATGTGGATTAATATTTTTGAACTCTGTAGACCCAGTCTTTATACTGTCCAACTGTGGATCAATTTATGAGCCCAATTTTTACAGGGGACAAATATCAACAGCACTAGCTGAGATTCCAATCTCAAATCCAAAACTCAGAAAATTAATTTTAAGAGGTTTCTTGTCATGCTTATTCATCGTATTCATATATCAAAACACGTACAAGCTGAACTTTTGGCATCTTTTGGCAGCCTGGGATGGCCATTTCTAAGGGAAATTATATCATTTGATTCTAAAAATATAGCAGTAAAACCTGTAAATGGCAAAGTTTAAGGGAGAGGACTTTATTTGTTGCTTCTCATATCAAAATAAATTTGGTCTCAATTGTATCACTGTTGCAATGAAAAACAAACATCAGAAACATACCTCCTCCATCAGCCTCCTTGATATCATCTTCAATTGCCTCATCAATTGCCTCATCAAATTCATCAAACCTAAAAGTAACAGCTTTCATTTACCACTTTGAAGCGAACCCTAATTCAATTATATTATGAAAACATACCTCAAAATCTAAAACTGCTCTGAGAAATCCCACTGCACACACAATGGGCTGGGTATATAATAAAATAACAGAGATAATGGCCCAGCTTGATAATAAAATAGCAATTTTTTTAAAAGGTGTGGTTCTTATTTCTACTTGGTAGCAGAATATTTATCATTGCCTGGCTGTCTTACTATTGATTTATGTGAACAGAAAACCACTTTCATTTTACGTGACTTACCACTGAATTTAACAATCTATAATTTTCAAAGTTATTTAAGATGGTATCAGTGGCTTTTTCCACACAAAGCATTAGTCGTTTTTCCCAGACCTTTTATTAGATGACATATGCACTACCAATCTGCAAAACAGACTTTCTGAAAAGCATCTATTAAAGTCAAAGTAAAATTACTCATCCTGTCTAAATTTTCCTTGAAAACTTCTTTCAGATAGCTTCTTTCTCCTCCTAAAGCTCACAGTAATTATACTTTATGGATCTGCAACATCCTAAGCTGAACAGATAAAACATACTGTACACACTTCTTTGTAATTATACACAAATAAGCTATAATGTAATGTTACCTAACTAAATAGGACAAACAAAACCAAAATATTTGAGTCCATTTGTCAAGCAGCAGCTGTTATAAAACTGCATAAATCTCTGCAAGCTGGGTAATTCATTTGAAGTGACCAGGAAATGAAGGAAAAAGGATCCATCCTTTACAAAGATGTTTGTTTACACCTCAGTTTGTTTCTTCAGTTATGAATTCAAATCTCATAAAAAAGGACTGTTACCTGTATCACCAAATAGATGCCTTGAGATATAACATAATAAAAGTACAAATTTTATTAACTACACAGGAAAGGCATTTTATTTAGATGCAGGTTTTTCTTCCTCTCATTTTTAAAAAAATCAATTTTGGGGGGTATTTTTTTAGATACAAACAACTAATAAGTGGACAATACTTTCATTAAAGATTCAGTTTCTCAGTCATGAAAGAAAGATTACAGTTATATGTATCTTGGTCCTCCACAGTAACCTCCAACAGAACAAGTAAAGAATAGATCTAATATTACTCTGTATTCCAATAGTAAGCATAAACCACTTTCTCCTTTAAAAATAAGGTGATGGATTTCTGGTCTCTTTATATTCCCTGAGAACAACTGCATGTCACGTTCAAGACAGCTTTACACAGCAAGGAAGTAACTCTGAAATTATTTCATCAATAAGATTAGTTCCACATTACTCAAGCATTATTTTCCCTCCACACCGCTAAAAAAACCCAACAAAAACCTTTTTAAAATGTGAGAAGTGACTTATTGCATTCAAATCACTGCCAACAAATAACCTGAGCTCAAACATGAGCTGACAGCTGCTTGTCCATTAGGTGTAATGGAACATAATTTCCTCTGCTGCTGCTATATTCGTAACGCAGATTTCTGCTAACCTCCTCACGAGAGGGCTCGACAGATGACTCGGGTGATGCAAAGGGATTACATATCTTTAGAGAACCAGAACTATACAACAGAGATTTGTCTGTAAGCGGAATAAGACGGTTAGCATTTATTTTCCCCTGCTGAAGGAAAGCATACGCAATTCTCAGCGACACTAGCGAGACTTCACTGCAGACATATCAATTTGCAGTGACACGCTGACACGTGTAATATTTTCACCAGCTCAAAGTTGTGTGTGTGATGGAGTCTGTAAGAAAGACTCCATCATTTTGTATCAGAAGATTGATTTTTGCAGAACAACATTATATGAAACATTACTTCCAATAAAAATTATTGT